GTGTTTTGGTATTAATATACCTCACGTTTAACACATGTTTAGAGGGAAGGTGTGAAATTCGGTGAAATTCCGATTTCATTTATGCCGTTAATGAAGAAAAAACCTTTGATAACGACATTATTATTTTTAAATTCAACTAAAAAGTTTTCTTTTTAATTCCATTAATATTTTTTTAATACAAAGTAAGAAGTGTTTTGATTTGAGTCATATGTAGACGAAACGAGCGACTGGTATACCAAATTATTAGCCTGGACTCTTTCAAGAGTTTTTATAATAGACTAACTTGGTATATCGCTGTCTAAAATGACATTCAATCGTTTCATATGTATGGTGATAAAGTTATGCATTTATGCATGATATACATGTCAACAGTGGTTAAATTATGTGCGGAATGAAAAATCAAGTGTCATATTAGTAGAACGTGTAATAAGTGTCAACATTTACACAGAAACTTACTAGTGAAAACAAAGTGATTTACAATAAAAAGAGTTGTAACGTTCAACACCAACTTATGCATCCACTTTACCTAATCAGTAAAAATATAAACAACAGTAGTTTACCAATCTTCAGATCTCATAAATCAACTAAGAAGACAAGTTAAGGAACAAAAAGGAGCTAATCGGCAGTATTAGCGTCTCTTGCTAGAAAAAATCTAGAGAAAGTAATCTTCACGAAAATAAATAATAAAAAGGGTTTGTAGGGTGTCGGGAAACTCCCTTTAATTTGAGTTTTATATAACCCAAAAATCATATCCAACTGAAATGTATAGAGATATATGTGTATAAGGATTCACTAAATTAATTAGACCTGAATTAAAGGAAAGTGTCAAAATTTAGGATAAGAAGTTTTTGCAATGAATGAAAAGTAAATTTTATCCCTTCCAATTCCTTTTCTAAAGGGGAGGGGACACAGCACGAGCTTTGGTGTATGCCTTTGAATATTGCATTTTAAAAATTACTAATGCTGGATTGCAGCAAAACTGCAAAATAATACAGTTTCACAATAACTTAAAAAAAACTGTAGATCTAACGATTTTGTCTTTGAATTTTTCAACATTTTTCATTCATGTGTAATTGTTTTCTTGCCATTTGAGACTTTGAGAAAAATATTCTTTGAAACACAATGATATCTTAGTGCTCATTTCTTTTAAAATACTGTTTAGCGTTTATTTTACACGAATAATGGTTCGATATTCAATTTAACGTTATTGCTTTTGCTTATTCAAGTTTTTCAAACAATTTGATTATCGTGTAGGTTTAGTTGCCATTGATCAAAATTATAATTGATATATCACATTTTACTTCGCGTTAAACCAGTCATATGAGGCTATTGCTATTTTACTGTCGAAGCTGTTAAGCGTGCAATTCTCTTTGTATACAGAGAATAGCAAGCTTTTACCATGAAGCAAGTCTTCTATTTCAAAATAGTTTTAACAGTTTTGTTGCAGGTAAAATTGATAATTCACAAAGTTGATTTTTTTGGTTTCTATTAGAGACAAAACTCTTGTTTAGTTTTATTAAAGTAGTCTCCAATGCAAAAACAAATAAATTTTAATGTGCGTTGTTATGTTATTGAATTTTTTTTAACAAAGCCAATCTACTTTGCTGCAAAATACATTAGTATATTTTCAAATTATCGTCTTTGTTTCCAGATTTTTTTGTAAAGGAGACAACTCTTTAAGTTCGACAAACTGTGTTCCTTGTCAATGCCAGCATTACGAAAGCGCATGTGCTGGTGTACGTAAGCTTAAAAACTTTCATTTCGTAACCATTTTTTTGCAATTGCTTTTTTTTAACCACAAATGTGCGATGTATTAACGAAATCAAATCTAATGCAAAATCCCGCAGAAAATAACTAGCTTTTGCCACTTGCTGGACACAGTTTAATATACCCTTTGTCATAATTTTTTAATTGGAAACAAAGGTATTTTTGAAAATAGACTATTAAGATTCCACTTTCAGTGTGCTACATGTAAAGGTAATTGCCCAATAAATACATAAACAAAACAAAACAGCTACTTGTAGCTAATAAATTCCAGATGCACCAGAGTGGCATTAGCCAAGTTGCGACAATAGCTTTTATATAATGAATTTGGCCTAGAGATGGAAGTTATATAGTTACTTACATTAAAAACTTTCATAAAATAAGCATCTCTAATGATATCATTTTAGAAAGTTTAGGAATGGTTGAATATATAGTTCAAAGAATACTGTTTGGAAACCCCAAAAAATCAGTTTATGTCTATAGCTGCTGTCGATCCACCGATACGTGGGTTTTTTTTCTTTTACAGGGTCATCATCCAATCCAAAAATACATTTTCTAAATGATTAGATGCATGACTGAAAACGCGTATGATTAGAAAGATTTTCGATTTACAGATGATCTGACACTGACATTCAACGCGTTATTCTTAAATAAAACTATGTCTTTCTCACCCATAAGATCCACAAATCAACTTTCATTTCAGCCGATTTTTATTCTATTCACAACAACTGTGACCTTGACCTTGACCTTTACATAGTTAACTTCGAACCATGGTTCTTCATTTTAGAAGGGACTTTTTCGCTAGTGAAGATTGATTGTATGATATAAAAACAAGGTATTCTGGTACATTTTTGACAAATTTTCTACTTTTTTATTTATTCGATTAAAAGCAACTGTGGCCTTGCACATTGACCAACTTATTCCAAAATAAATAATTAAGAATAATGAAACATCGGAATTTGAATAGGATATGATATATACTGTTGAAGGTAAATCAGAAATTTTGACGTATTCATTCGCAATTATATAAACCTTATTAGATATGTCAGATATGTCGCAACTCTGCTAATAATGTCGAATGTCTAGTCTTTTCGATCAGATAGAAGTGTGTTTTTTTTTTAATTATTGACTATAACTGGCTGAGATTCCCCTAAAAATTATTTACCAAAAGTCTTGATTCGTAAATCTGGCTCATGCGAAAAAGCTTTAAAAACATGTATGATATAAAAATAAGAAGATGTGGTATGATAGCCAATGCGACAACTCTCCATCAGAGACCAAATGACATAGAAGTTAACAACTATAAGTCACCGTACGGCCTTCAACAATGAGCAAAAACCACACCGCATAATCAGTTATAAAAAGCCCAGATATGACAAATGTAAAACAATTCAAACAAGAAAAATAACGGCCTGATGTATGTACAAAACAATGAACGAAAAACAAATATGATATACAGCAACAAACTGCAATCACTGAATTACAAGCTTCTGACTTGGGACAGGCACATAGGTTTATCATGAAATAAGTAATTTTCATGTAAATGTTCTGGTATAAAAGGTTATCTTTTCTGTCATATTAGGAATAATATACATATAGTATATCAAGCCTAGAGCGTCGATTCTCTAATATTGAAAAAGTTATTATCAAAACCAAAATCACAATACAACATAGATAACCATATATATATAAAAAAGAAGATGTGGTATGATTGCCAATGAGACAACTCTCCACAAGAGACCAAATGACACAGAAATTAACAACTATAGGTCACCGTACGGCCTTCAACAATGAGCAAAGCCCATACCGCACAGTCAGCTATAAAAGGCCCCGAAATGACAATGTAAAACAATTCAAACGAGAAAACTAACGGCCTAATTTATGTACAAAAAATGAACGAAAAACAAATATGTTACACATAAACAAACGACAACCACTGAATTACAGGCTCCTGACTTGGGACAGGTACATACATACAGAATGTGGCGGGGTTAAACATGTTAGCGGGATCCCAACCCTCCCCCTAACCTGGGACAGTGGTGTATCAGTACAACATAAGAACGAACTATAAAAATCAGTTGAAAGAGGCTGAACTCATCAGATGGATAAAAATACAAATACTACAAATACAAGTGGACGTGGGCGGGTACTTGTACATCCAAACAACAAAAAGACACTAAGTACAGATCTGAGAGTACTCGCAGTTACTGACAGATAGTTCAAAGCCACTAACAACTAATAAAACAAATCATGCATCTAAGACTAAATTATCAATCCGTACAATCCAACATCCAATGGATTTAGTGTAAAGACGTCATAAACAGTCAGAGAAAAACATGACCTTGTGCAATGCAAAGATACAGGTATCGACAGATTGTAGATATAATTTTCCTCAAGATCAACAAAAGAAATATAAAAAATAAATAAAAATGAAACATTTAGATGTCATCATACGTCTTTAACGAGTGACATCGGATCACATCATATGAGAAGTTTCGTCTAGACAGGTTGTGAGTGACCTCCGTATTTCAAAAACGTTGGAAATTATATTTTTGAATATTATTTTTACAGGGACGGCACAAATAGATAAAAAAAAATGAGATATTGTGCAATGTCTATAGTTATGTGCACAAAGTTTAATCGTCGGAAATGAAAATTGAATAAAAACATCGGCGATGTCTAGTATCAGGACGTAAGGGTTGAAAAACAAAAGCATGATTAAAAGCATGCTGTTGTATTAGTCTATCGGGACTCCGTTTATCTCATTTTTTGTTTTCTTCTTAAAGTATAAAGTCAACAGTATGACAGTACTTTAAACTCCAATATTCTCTCTCAAAAATAAATGATTTTCCATTTAGTTAAAAAAAAAGAAAAGTGATATGGATTAATCGACAATGGCACAATCATCCAAAAAAGGTCATCAGGAAAGAAAATTTGCATTAGCAAATCATTGTGTTAGACTGTTCAACAATATTCTGAACATAGCTGCTGTGTGTGAATTTACTGGCTTACTTAATTTCAATCTTTTTACTATTAAAGCAGATGCCAAACAAAATCAGTTATGAATATTTGGTTGAATCACAGCCAGTTTATATTTTCTGATATTCTTTTTTTAAATGTATTTTGCATTCTTAATTGGGCAAATTCCTTATTCTAAAGAATTCAATACTCTACCAAGGTGGTTGATGCAAACAGTATAGGTGATCATTGGTAATACATAGGCTCATAGAACTCACCCCTGGCTGGGGACATCATTCGTCTGTAAATATAAAAAAAAAACATTCTAAGAGACGGAAAAAAAATAATGAAGCCCGTTTTAATTTCTTTTCGTTTTTAAAATTTTTGAAAGCTTCATTGACATGTATCATCTAACAGAAGAATTTATAATGTTGAACAATTACATGTTTTAGCTGTTATAATATTTTAATCGGTCGAAGTTTGTCCAAGCGTATACTACCGGTCGGACCCCTGTATACATTGTGGTACGAAGTACAGGCTTGGACATGTTGAGATTATTATAATTTTACTTGTCTGTTTGAGTTCTATAAATCTTCAAAAATACATTATAAGAATTCAAATTTCTTTTTATATGGCAGATGAATATATATCTTATCTATTTCTCTTTGTTATACGAACTCTGTCAAATTTTTTTCCAGAACTTTTAGTAATTGAATAAAGAGTCTCTACAGTAAATATTATTTTACAATCCAACATATGCAAAGGAGGTACAGTTTATGACCACAACAGCCATGTAATTGTCACTAGTAGTACTATTCACTCAAATACAAATGAAAGAAGATAGCCATTCCTATTAAAAATATGTTGTTTAGAAATAAGAATAGAACAAAAGACTAGTCGGTGTCACGGTCAACTCATTCACCCCATAAGCTTTTATTTACCTTTTTTGATATTTTTGTTATATAAGACCTAATAGGAAAACTTTAGATTACTAACGCATACATTCTGGAAGTAATTGTAAGAGTTCGTTTACTACATAGATAGATATATACTGCAAAATAAGCAACGTAAATGAAAAATCAGATCTTTAGCAATTCAAATTTGAAGATTTATAGATCTCAAACTAACGTATATCAATAAACTGTACACTCACATCTAATAACATTATGATCATTACGGAAATTCGCTCACAAATCAAAATCTTAATTAATTAATTTCGTAAGTCAGAAGCTCTTTTCTGGATTAACTTCATCGGGGCAATTTTGTCAAAATAAGCTAAGAAACATCGCTGATGAATTATTCACTTACAAGTAAATAATTCGACCTCATTAAATCCGTATTCATATAACCTTCAATTTAACCCATTTGCTAGAGATTGGTTACGCATGTATAAGTCGAGTTCAGTCATTAAAAGGAAAAGAATGTCAACATTGAAAGTGAAACAAAAGTGAACCATTTCGTTGAATGATTCGATATATATAAAATCATTCTTATATAGGTAAAACTTTGTCTGAGATAGTTGGAACCTTAGTTTCTTAATAATTTCCTAATTCATCAACGAATATCAACAAATCTTGAATTAATAATGTCATGATATCTCAAGTGCAATTAGGTCATTTTTAGTTTCAACTATTTTAGTTGTGTTGTTTCAGAGAAGCAAACATACAGACGAAGAGCGACAAGCGATAGCAATAAGTTACACTAGTCCTTTATGCCAGATTGCCTGTTGAATAAATATAATCCTTTATGCAAGATTGACATATTTTTTTTCTATTCGGTATCATTCACAACATTGCGTCTTGTAATATATATATATCATAAAGAGCAATTTGGATGGTCTATTACAAAACAGTTCTGCAGTATTTTAATTAGTACTGGATACTTTTTCATACATATGTTTAAATTATTATTTTCCAAATCGACCCAAAAAATACTTAAATAATTTTTTATATGCTTGTAATACCGATTATACTCACCCCTCTAATGGCGGTAAAGGTTGGTAATGATGGACTACAGGTTGTTGCATTGGGGCAGCCATAGGAGCAGGGGTCATTGAGTAATGATGGTGATGTACTTGTCCACCTCCTGGACGGGCCATCTAAAAACAAAGTAAATGACGTTTTGTCACCCAATACTCAAAACTAATGTTTATGAATATTTTTTTCATTTGAAATGGGTCAATTATTCATACTCATTAAAGACATAAGTATAAGACAACATGTCGAAGCTTACTTTAAACAAAGTATGAACAAATTACAGATTATATGGAAAATAAAGTCAATACATCAGCTCAGAAGAATAAAATGACAGCATATTTTGTTACATATTCTTTTTGGATTGCAGTACAAAAAAAAAAACAATTCAACATCACTAAAACTGTATACAGTAGCTGCAATCGACAATTATTCAAACCCATTATTTAATCATCCTTTAGTTATGTCATTATTCCGTTGAGATTACTTTATCAATACTTTGCCTTTGTTCCAAAAATTTACTCCAGGAAAATTGTTATTAATAAGTACCATAACAGGTGCTGCGGGTTCTGACATTATTGCTGTAGGGTATGAGTTACCCCGGTTACCACCCGGAAGTTGACTAATCATCATTTGTTGCATGACCATTTGATGCATTTGTTGATGCTGTATCATCATCATTTCCATAAAATCTGTAAAAGAGGTCAAGAAAAAAAATAAAAAGGTCGAAAACGTACCAAAACAGGCTGTGCTGGTTCTGCATAATAATAAGAAGGGTAGCATGGATAAGAATGTCTGTTTCGACCACCAAATTGTTGCATCATCAATTGTTGCATGACTAATTGGTTAACTTGTTGATGTTGAACCATCATCATGTCCATAAAATCTGAAAAAGCGTACTTGAGTTATACATTCTAGCATGTACATTCTTTAAAATCTTATAAGTTGTTCATCAATAACGCGGGAAAGCGTAATAGTTTTCTGCATTGCATTAGATTGAAAGCAAAACAGCTGGATCTTAAAAGAAAACCCAATAATCCCGAAACTAAGTCATATTTAAAAGAGAGACGAAAGATATTTTGTGATATACTTAAGTACAGTAAATAGTGAAATCACAAAAATACTGAACTCCGAGGAAAATTCAAAAAGGAAAGTCCCTAATCAAATGGCAAAATCAAAAGCTCAAACACATCAAACGAATGGATAACAACTGTCATATTCCTGACTTGGTAGAGGCATTTTCTTATGTAGAAAATGGGGGATTGAACCTGGTTTTATAGCTAGCTAAACCTCTGACTTGTATGACAGTCGCATCAAATTCCATTATATTGACAACGATGCGTGAACAAGACAAACAAACAGACACAATAGGTACAAATGTCAAAAATAAGGGTACAGCAGTCAACATTATACATATACAAGACGCAAGGATCGATACGATTTAATATCGGAGCTAAAGAACAAATACCATTGAAAACTAATTGACATGGACAAAATCATTTTAACAGGCTATAACAGGTTTTGCTCTAACCCTTCATTGTTTTATGCTTTTTATCGATTTCTTCCCTTTTGTAGATATGATTTATAACACATATTTTGTACATTAAATATACATATTTTTTCTAGTTATACAAAAAAAATCTAGGGTTCTGTATTACTTAAGACTTTTTCATTTATCAAATTATAAAAGGAAACCGCTGTACAAAATTTGACGACGATTGGCCACATTTCTAGGCTCAGTACTGGGCTAAATTTTTACCTCTATGACAGAAAATTATCTGGAACCTATACACAAGTAGCAAGGGATTTTGTATGAAAAAATATTTTCCAGAAAGCTGTGAACAAAGCATGATTTAAATAACCTTACCTTTTATCATTGCAAATCGTTTTAACAACTTAAGTAAATTTTGAGTGTAAAATAGGTTGTAACTACAATCGTTGGTATATGACACTTTGAGGAGACCTCGACCTTGATACCAAATACGGTGAATCTTCTGGTTCTTCTTTAAAATAAATGTACAAAGTTTGGAACAAAATGAATATATTTAATTGTAAACGTTCATTGTGCCCATTTTTAATACGCATACAGACGGAGAGACTTTCTTCAATTCATAATTATGGTATAATTGTTTCCTGAAGAAGTATATTGACAAAAAAATACCATTTCCTAATATAATATTGATAGTCTACTATACTCGTAATGATTTATAATATATATATAAATTGAATGTCAGTGAAAAAAGACAAAAAAAATTACATCCTACAGTAATCTACATCTAGGTCTCATAATATATATTTCACTGTCTCATATACCAGTTTATGAATTGCAAACTGAAATGTCAGAGAAGAGTTATATATGATAAATAATTTATCAATGTTCACTACTCCCTCAAAATTCCAAAATATGTTTATTTTTCTTTTATTTAACCCATATTTCATTTTTAACAATGATCTCTATATATAAAAATATGAAGATGTGATCACATGATAATTACCAATGAGACAACACTACACCAGAGAACAAATGTCATAGAATTTAACAGCTATAGGGCACCGTACGGCCTTCAACAATGAGCAAAACTTATACCACAAAGTCAGCTATAAAAGACCCCGAAATGACAAATGTAAAACAATTCAAACGAGAAGTCTAACGGCCTGGTTTATGTACAAAACAATGAACGAAAAACAAATATGATATACTATATATATATATCTATGACTGTTTTAATCTAATATAAAACCATAGAAATATTGGCTGTTAAAACTTTATACTCGATTTGTTTTCCCTAAATTTGAAGTGGTAATTATATACTTATTGACAATAGTCACTGACCTTTCAACTGCTAAAACAACTATTATATAATCAATATCATAGTCAAACTAGTTAACAGAACAACACCTATTCAATTTGTTTTGTGGCATTCGAGGAAAAGATATTTTATAAAATGTAAGCATTCCAGGCAGACACCACCATAGTTACGATAAAAATGTTCTATGAAAGCGTAACTTTCAGCAACTGGACTTTTGAGCCCCTTATTTATTTTGAACCAATTTGAATCTACTCGGATCTGAATGATTACTAAGATGAATTTTTGTGAAGATAAACAATAAAAATTTGTTTTGAATTTGCACTGTTGTCTCAATATTTGACAGTTATGCTATTCAAAACAAACGTTAAGAGCAGGTACAGGAAGCAAAATGTTGAAAATCTTGCCGATAGCGATCTTTTCAAAGTAATAAAAAAAACATGGAGTTGTAGAACATAACTCCTTAAAAATGGAACAGTTACAAGGACATTTGTTGTTAAAGCTAATATCCAAAGTTATATGTCATAATTTGTGTTTATCAATTAACGTCTAGAGTCCATTGAATTGGTAAATAAATCCGCAATTTCACTCCGTGAAGTATGGAAATTGTTATTTTTATTTTTATCTGTATTATCAAATAAACGTATTACATACCTCCTTTGTTAAACATTGATGACGACTTCTGTTGGTTGTTATCTGGTACTAGGTTCTGGTACGTGACTTGCGGAACAGGTACTTGTTGTATAATGTGTTGTAGGGGTGAGGGTTGTTGTTGTTGTATTATTGGCTGCTGTGGCGCATTCATTATTGGAGGTAAATGGTACTGCCGAGGTGTGGCAATTGTGTGTTTAATTACGTGTTTCACTTGTGACATGTCTGAAACAAAGAGTAAATCATTACATAAAAAAAAAAATAGTTGGCACAACTTTTTGGAATTTTTGTTTCAATGGTCGTCAATTGATTTAGCCAGTCAACAGTTTTGATTCGATCGTCAATGATAAGTCTTTTGAAGACGAACGTGCGTCTGGCGTACTATGATTATCAGCCTTCTTAAATATACTTATCTGGTAAATGTTTAAATTATATAGAGCAGTTAAATTCTATGCAATAAACTGTTAACAGTTACATATAGATATGTCACAAACTTAAGCAATAATTGTTGAAGCCAACGAAAAAAGTACGCCAACACAGCATGCCAAAAAGTCTGGCGTCTTCGAAAATCGTCTCAGGCGAGACAAAAACTAAATCACCATAATTCTAATTTTGTTGTCACTTTTGCAGCCGATCGTACTCAAATTTAACTTACTGACTTATCTTAAGTGTGTCAGATTAAGCTATTGTCAAGAAAACTACAAGAATCTTCACATTAGTTTACGCCGGGGCACCTACTTGGAGATACGCACGTACAAAATACATCTTTTTTTCTATGGTCCACATTTTGAGAAGCAGGCACTTAAACAACCGTAAACAAAACTTCATAATAATGAATGTTGTCTTAAATATGTCCTGCTTTAGAAATAACAGTCTGTAACGTAGCAAGCCCTTTGTAAAAGTGCATGCACGAGAAGCAAATAAATGCAGGTACCTTCACTTTTTAACAGAATTCCATTATATGATTTGCTTGTAGACTTTGTACGTCAATATAAAAATTAGAAGATGTGGTATGATTGCCAATGAGACAACTCTCCACAAGAGACCAAATGACACAGAAATTAACAACTATAGGGCACGAAGACTGTCCTTGTGTTTATAAACTGTACATATTTTAGTTATGTATACGAGGGAATAGATGTTACTCAATTCTCGGATTAAGATAATCTGATTGAAATTGAAATACAGATCATGTGTCCTACAAGCGAAACGTTGACACGGGGTGTGTATTTACGTTGACACGGGGTGTGTATTTACGTTGACACGGGGTGTGTATTTACGTTGATACGGGGTATGCAGTTACGTTGACACGGGGTATGTATTTCAAATTGGGTTTCAAACAAAACTTTCTGAAACTGATTACTTCCAAAATGTTGATTACATATTTACTATGTTATGATGGAAGTGTTTTGTGGAAGAATATAGAAATTGGTATGAGTACCATTTAGTTTTTTTCCTCATGCTCTTGTTTTTATTCCTTATTATGACAACCAAGGAGTAAACATTTTCACCTAATATAAGGTTATTTTACTGGTTTTGTTGTTGTTTTTTGTTTATTTTGTTTTGTATTTCTTCTTTTGAGTATCAAATAAATGGATTAGTCTTGACATTAGTCACGCATGCCAAGTGAGTCGTATAGTTTAGTGTTCGTCCACACACATATCTCGTTTAACGAATAGTTTAACGAATGGTTATATTGACCGAATTTGAAACAGGTTAAGGCAACGCATGTTTCGGTAACTACCTTACCGAAAACTTCCGCCGTCAGTGGAGCAAAAATATAGAAAGCAACAAAATAATAAATCTTGTTTAACTATAAAACCAAAAGAGATCGAAGCGCAGTGAAATTCGTTTTTCCTTAGATTGAATCTTGATTTTTCTTCCCTGTAACTTGATAAATCCCACCTTAAGAAGGGAGCAAAATGTAAGGTGTGTCGGGTTTCGGTTGACCGTCCGGCTTTACACACAAATCCCCATATGCATTCCAAAAGACAAAAACAAAACCAAACTAGCTACATAATATGGTCAGGACTATTCATGATTATGATCGGTTCATTCTTAGATATTTGTTCTTTGCAATCCCAGACTAATGAAAAATACCCTTTACAAAAATTTCTCATTGCAAACTAATAAAATTGCGTACAAGTCAATCATTGTGCATACATGTAGTTCCTATCAGTGTTGTTTCCTTCGGAAATTGAGATCGAAAGCATAGATATTCAGTGGCGGATCCAGAACTTTTTATAAGGGGGGCCCACTGACTGCCATCACAGGGGGCCCGCTACAGTCATGCTTCAGTGATTCCCTATATAATCAACCAATTTTTTTCCCACGAAAGGGGGGGGGGGGGGGCAGGGCCCCCTGGATCCGCCTATGATATTATTTATTTATAGATAATTGAATATGAAACATCTATTGTTATTTACAGTTTCCCTCCCCCAACCACCACCATTAAAAAATAAGTCAGGTATGCTGTATGCCCCTTCAACCCTGCAATTGTTTATTTTTTAAACTTAGTATGATGTAAACTTAAAGCAAAATATAAAAAATATATAATTCACACACCCAACTAGCACAAAACTACGTTGTATTTATTGGTATAGATAAATTGTTACCTTGAGGCTCATTTCGGGCCCAGTCCTCAATGACGGCGTTCCCTGAATCGATTAACCATTGTTCCATTTCATTGTTAAATATATTTTTATTGACACAGTTCCTAATGAAAATGTACGTTAATGAATAGTGTACTATTCTATTGTTTTGTAACTTCTGCAACTGCTTATATAATTCACATCTCACTCCGACCAGAATGCAACGTCTTGTAGGTGTATTAAGCACATCACCATAGCAAAATCATATTAAATAAATAATTTCCGGTACAATAGTTTCTTATATGTTAAATCTCATTTGCGAAATTGAAAACGAAAAAGGATCTTTTCACATGAATTTCAATACGTATACATGAATTTCAATACGCATACAAGAATTTCAATACATATATAGATGTTTATGTACTGTAAAGGGAAATACAAAAGGGTTGTCTTTCACAATGACAATTCAAATGTTTCACACTATAACAGATCAAATTATATAAACAGTTCTAAACATCATATCAATAGATTTCTTTTGGTCTACATACTTTTGTGATAAGTATACATAATTTTCGTATGAATATTTAATACAGAATTCAAATAGCAAATATAATAGTTTACTCAAATTCAGTTCAAATTAATAAATAACTTTTCAAATTTTCTTTAGAATTTTCTCATTTTATTGAAGAATCATACTTTTATGCTGGTTAAATACCAAAGCAAAGGTGAAAATTATTTAAAAGTAGGGTTATTCTACTGCACATTGCCATGGGATACCTATTTTATATGTTCATAGATGTTATTAATATACTATTTACTAACTCTCGAAAAGTAAACTATCGACAGTATAAAAGGATATGTATTTACGTTGTGGTTCTAAAAAAAATTGTTACAACGTTAAAAAAAATATTCATAATAACTTTCATTACTTCTCGGATTTTTGACAAATAATTTAAAAAGACTTAGCAAAATAAAATTCCGTCCTCTCCCTATATAAAATTAAAAGATGTTGTATGATTGCCAATGAGATAATTATCCACAAGAGACCAAATGACGTAGATAACAACTATAGGTCAACGTACGGCAACAATGAGTAAAAACTCATACGGCATAGCGAGCTATAAAAGATACCGACATGACAAATGTAAAACAATTCAAACGAGAAAAAAATATCGACCCGATTATGTACAAAACAAAAAACGAAAAACAAATATGATTATATAACAACACACGACAACCACTGAATTACAGGCTCCTGACTTGGGACAGACACCTTCAGAATGTGCTGGTGTTAAACATGTTTGCAGCCCCCTCCCCTTAACCTGGGACAGTGGTGCAATAGCACAACATAAGAACAAACTATAAAAATCAGTTGAAAAGGGCTTGATTTGTCTAGTTGAAACAAAACACAAGCACCTAAAAAAAGGACTTAACACACAAATTACAGATCAGAGAGTACTCGCAGGTGCTGAAAGCTAGTTCACAGCCAATAACAACTAATAAAAAAATATGTCTTCATTCGTGAAATATAAAGTAGAACTTTTTGGACCACATCAATGAATTTTGATTTACTACTAAACTGATACTGGTAGACCACGAGGGTAAAATGTGCTTGACTAAGATTTACTATCAATGGATGATATAACAGTTGGACCTTTGTCCCTCCTTCCCCTCTCGCAGGACATAGACTCGAAGCCAGTAATCCAACACTTGTATGTCTTATTGGAGAATGCTTGATATTGGTATATAATGTGAAAAGTCTGATTCAAGAATTGTATTACCCAATTTTCTGTAGGAAACTGTCATTCCCGTACGAATGAATTACTTCTTAAATCACACATATACTCCAACATCTAAATTATTATGTCGCTTTTTAGTTTTTCTCCATTTTGAAATGGCATTTTGATAAATGCTCAAATGATATATTTTGTAATTACGTAAAATCTTATTTCGATTGTATTAAGTCTCCGAAATAAGTTTGGTGACAAATGAGTTTTGCTCAGTCTTTTACTTCACATGCCCTTTTTATAAGATGACTTTCTTTTCAGTCTTTAATAAACTGAATGCAAACTTGAGTGTTTTCCTTTCCTTTTTTGTTGATGGCGTCTCTCTTTTAAGACTCCAGAGCATTTCATGTTGGTACTGATATGAATCCAGATATAACCTTTGAACTTATACAGACATGAATTACATAAAAAAGGGAAATGTGTGACTTTCACTCCTACATTTTTGTTAGTCAACATATTCGGCAATAGTGATCGACAACTTGACACTAAAATGTTTATAGGAAATATCTTATCTTTGGAAATATTTCTATTAATCAACTAGAGGTTAATGGATTAAAAGAACACCATTCACGACAACAGCAGAACAAAACGAGTTTGCTTGATTTTGCACACATAAGCTGGTCTTACATTTGGTCTGTTGGAAAAATACCTTTTAATTTATTTAGCTGCTTTATTTTTAATATGATTTTTAATACACAGAAACGCATCACACTCCTAACCAAGGTGTGTCAATTTCTTTACACATTCAATTCCGGAACTATTCAATATATAATTTTAGGCGAGACATCGATCTGTTTTGTTAAAAACCACATGTTCGATTATAATTTCATTTACTTCAATGCACCATCAATCACAGTAACTATCAAACATGTTGTGGCCCATGAGATGTTGCGCAGGAAAAAGATGATGTCAACTGCGTAAAACAGGTTACAGTAGGATAATTTATAATAATGGCGATCGATGATTTATACAAACAACCTGCCAAGTCCCTTTAAAAATTCAGATAATTATGAAAATAAAGGTCATCTTCTACATGCATAGTTTTCTCCTTATACAACTAATAAGCTGTGATATGATTGCCAATGAGATTACTATTCACCAAAGACTAAATGACGTGGATGTAAGCATCTATAGGTAACCGTATGGCCTTTAACAATGAGCAAACCCATACCGTAGAGTAAGCCATAAATCAGGCCATGACAAAAATGTGAAACATTTCAAAAAAGAAAACCAACGGCCTGATTTATGTATAAAACAATAAACAAAAATCAAAAAAGAGAGCGACCAAAACACGGGGTAAAACACGTTTGTGAGCGCTCAACCCTACCCTAACCTGGGACAGTAGTTTAACAGCAAAACAAGACCAAACTGTTAAACTCAGTCGAAAAAGGCTTAACTCACAATACCGATACAAAGCAATAACAAAAACCAACAAAAATACCTCAGACAAAAAGTACCGATATAAGAGTACCCGAAAGACATAAAGAACCGATCTAAGAGTACCGAAAGACACTAAAGTATCGATATGAGAACACCCGAAAGACACAAAGTACCGATCTAAGAGTACTCGAAGTTACAGAAGGCTAGTTTAAACCCAATTATAGTTAACTAATAAATCATGTTTTCCAGACTTGAATATCAATCAGAGGAGCACATTTGTTTTCCAAAGGAATGCCGATTGTTTGTTTTTTTGAGAAAAAAAAACATCCTGCAAACGTAACAAATACGTTATGACCTTTCATTTAGCCTATTTAATATATTTCATTTAATATATTACACATCCAATGCAAGCTCTGGATTATCGTATCAACTGGGAGATATATACTCTGGATGCAGGCGCTGATAGAATGTTACATAGAATTGGAAAGTTCACAATTGAAAAGTTTTGTTCTAAACCTACCCTCGTTGTCAATTTCTAGATGAAAGTCAGTATATTAATCGGACTAAACTGTATCTGAGGTATCCTTTATTTCAAATTTGATGGGATAGGTGCGTTCAACATAGTCACCAAATTTAATTATGTACTGAGAGGATATCATCTATATAGCGGAACGTAAAGTCAAAGGAAAATGCCAGCTTCTTTTCATTCTTCCCGAGAAGCTGCACGAAGTCTCTCTCCTATGAATATAGAAACAAAGGCGGTAAGAGGAGCACTCGTGGTTTCCATATGAATGCTTAATTGGATTGGTTTACGTTGTCAATAAAAAAAAATCAAGCATCTTGATGATGTCAGTTTCAGAGATTTTTTTGGAATAAGAAAGGATTTTAAAAATGAATGATCTAGCCCTTTCTAAAATCTACGTTAGCCATTATTTTTTATGAAACAGACTAGTTTCTGTCTTTAATTTAGAATGGGATATACTAGGGTGAAGGGTAGAAAAGTCGAAAGTTTTTATACTAATGCAAGCGGAAAGAGACTTGAATAGTATGTATTCTACCATATCTTTCGATTTTTTAAGTATCCACATGTAATTTAAAAATCTCTGATAGAGCGGGTAGTTTTATTTGAAATTCCAAAGGACGATAGAGAAGACTTATGATTGTTCAGGATTTCCTCAATGGGTGCGTATGTTGAGTTTCCAAGTGAATAATCGATGCCTAGTTCCGTATTCAGCAATTTATATCATGTGATTTACACACAAAAACGATGTTCTTTGGCTTATTTCTGCGGGGACAACAACATATTTGTCATGGACGAAATACGGGTTTTATGCAATAGTTGTGTCCTTGGAGAAAGATGTAAGCAAGAGTGTCCATAGACCCACTCAGGTTTTTAATTCTTTTTGTGTCAATGACCACAAAGCGTTCGAGAAGAGTACCCACGTTTTCATTATTGCGTTTAGTCCATTGCCTGGCATATATCTTGACTAAATCTATTAGTAGTTTAATTTATGGATTAAGGTTCACGATATTTCGGCACTTTGGATAACACATTTCCAGCAGAAGTGTTGTTGACAATGTTCAGGTTGCCAGAAATAACGTGGCCAGACGGTATTAGTAAATATTAATGGGGCCTATATAAGAACAAACTTAAAACATTCATTGAAACTCTACAGAGGAATGCATTAGCTCTATTACTCGTATCTCATCCATTTTGTTTGTCTTTAAAAAACACAAATCAGAAACTTCTGTTAAATTGGCGGCAAATTGCACATCTCATTTTCAATTGTGTCCTAACATATTATATGACCTTTTTCCATGTTGATCTTACAAAGATTCTTTGATCTGCTTTACACACTTTGTTTAGCTGAATAGAATGTTGTATAGTTTTATAAATCATTGACCTTTTTATTTAAATACGCATAGTTAACTGTAATTTTATCATCACCATAGAATGGTTGTTGGTAATTAACCTTACCGTTATTATCACCATAGAAAGGTTGTTGGTAATTAACCTTACCGTTATTATCACCATAGAAAGGTTGTTGGTAATTAACCTTACCGTTATAATCACCATAGAAAGGTTGTTGGTAATTAACCTTACCGTTATTATCACCATAGAAAGGTTGTTGGTAATTAACCTTACCTTTATCATCACCATAGAAAGGTTATTGGTAATTAACCTTACCGTTATCATCACCATAGAAAGGTTGTTGGTAATTAACCTTACCGTTATTATCACCATAGAAAGGTTGTTGGTAATTAACATTACCGTTATTATCACCATAGAAAGGTTGTTGGTAATTAACCTTACCGTTATTATCACCATAGAAAGGTTGTTGGTAGTTATCTCGTTCTCGGTATGTATAATCTCCATTGTTTCTGTTAAAGTCTGGAAGTGAGCGTCGTGAGGGGGGAGGTTGTACAGGGGACGGAGTATACCGCCGTCTAGCACTATATGATCTCGGTCGACGGTTATCTGCTACTGAGGTGTGATTCACTATTTGTTCACGCTTCAAAGAGAAATTAATTAATTTTAATAGCGCAAGTTGGGTTTTTTTTTTCGAGAAAAATAAAACAAATTTGAACTAAATAATAAAAACAATTTTCCTTCGAATTTATTTCACCAGCTATGTCATCTTCAAGAAGTTCTAGAATCTTAACTAAAGTTGAAAGTTCACACAGCTTCTTATATGCACTAAAGCCATTTTTGCTTCAGTTATATAAACACTTCCAGACGGTAGAAATTGCAATTTTGATAGATTTTTGTCATTGCTAGAAAATTCTCAACAAAACTCAAAATTCTTTCAGAAGAAAAACTATTAATTTTATTTCAAATACGAACTATTCTATATCGTTTCATGTGTTCTCTAATCCAATTGCGGTTTGTGGCAATCTTTATGTGTTTATAATTGGGTGATATGTTTAGAAATCATTAAGCTATTCTATTGTTGGAAACTTAAAGACCACACATTGGGCTGTGATATCTATGAACTCAAGTACAGTTTGAACGACTTTTTTTTTAAATAGTCCTGAAGTGAAGAAATTCAAGGAAAATAGGCCTTACTTCTTTCACAAAAATATGTACAATTTGCATAATCTAATCAAAATTGTCTTTAACAGTAAAGCATAGAACTAAATAACATAAAAACGGGGAAAACAGCCACCACACCTCTTTCAAGCTCAAATCTTTGTTACCGGGATACGAAATATGGTGATCTTGAATGGTGAAATGACTTATAACATTCCATCTATTGAATTGCACTCTACATTTGGTCTCAGAAAAGTCTTCATAAAATTGTTATTAGCAAGATAAAGTACAAAAAATAAAAGAAAGCTAGCAACAAATACCGTCAGTATGATCGACACACTCATCTGAGAACATTCTTCCTTTAGTGTGAACAACCGTAAAAACTTCGCAGCGAGAATAACAATACAGAATAAAACAAGAATGTGTCCATAGTACACGGATGCCCCACTCGCGCTATCATTTTCTATGTTCAGCGGACCGTGAAATTAGGGTAAAAACTCTAATTTGGCACTAAAATTAGAAAGATCATATCATAGGGAACATGTGCACTAAGTTTCAAGTTGATTGGACTTCAACTTCATAAAAACTATCTTGACCAAAAACTTTAACTTGAACTTGAAGCGGGACAGACGGACGAATGAACGGACGCACAGACCGAAAAACATAATGCCTAGGTGGGGCATAAAAAATTGTGATAACAGTTTATGTAACATAGATTGCCTAGATTGCCTTCTGTTCACTGTAGTGGACACACTATCTTAAAATGATGAAACGTATATACTTTTATATGTCATCTTTATATGAGGAACCGCCTCGGTAGTCTCGTGATAACGTGCTCGCCTCGAGTGCGGGAGATTGTGGGTTTGAATCCCGACCGGGTCAAACCAAAGACTATAAGATTTGTATTTGCTGCTTCTCCGTTAAGCACGCGGCATACTCATTGCGACCAAGACTGGTCGGCTCGGAGTCAGAATAATGTGTCCGGTAGGTTGACATGTCTTCCTGCAGATTGTTACATTGTGAACCAACATGTTGAAAATCCGGCTCAGGATGTTGGTCTATTGCAAAGCAGGGTTCATATCCATATCGCACTAACATATTCTCGTCCTGAATATGCGTTTAATTTCCCGCTGGACGTGAAACCGTCATTTATCCATCCAATCATCTATCTTTATCTGAAGCAAGTACATCATCTATATAGCTGACATAGTGTATAAACAGGGAATGTCTGTCGGACTCTTACGGTTTAGAAGATGGAACCTTTTCTTAGTTTGTAGAACAGTTGCACATATACCTAAGATACGTATGTGGACAGTAATTTTATTTTCCACAACATTTTTTAAAAGAAAACAACTGATTGTTGAAATTAATAAATTTTGTAAAATGTCCTACATAGGGTACACGATTTGTCAAACTTCTCCTACAGTATAAAAAGCTAGATCATTCTCATTTATCAAAACAAGTGAACATATTTGTAATCTTAAAATGGCGTCAAATTGTTAAAAAGATGTCGTTTTTGTTACCTTAAATACAGGAGACAGGAATTTATCGATGTTAAACTTTTTAGAGACCAATATAAAAGCAGCATCCATTATAATTAAAACAATAGGGGGAAAATAAAAAAGAAGTTTCTTGTCGGAATTTTTATATACATTGATATCCAATCTCAGACAGTACAGAAGGAATACTCAATATATCATCATATAATAATATAATAATATCACATGTGGGGCATAATATGTGTTTTATTGACACAAAATATTATTTTGTAAAACAATTGAGTATAAGAAGCAAATCTACATATTTAAACATGGGCATTTATCAAGGATTAAATAAAATAGTTTGGTCTTTTGTCGCATCTATGCAAACATTGATACCTGGTAAACAGCAGCAAATTTTGACAAAGTATTTTTTTCAAAACGTTCAGATAACAATCGATATAATCAGTAAAGCTAAATCTCCTTCAAATTTGAGTTTGAAAAAATCTACAATACAGTTTTCTTACCCTAATTTTGTCTAGAAGTTCTTGTCTCCTTAACATAGCCTGCTGAAGACGTAATTGTTCATCGACATCATTTGCACCTATAAAATATAAGGTATACATCAAATAAATGTAATGTTATACAGAATGCAGCAATGAATAATAGATATATTTCTATAAATCGGCAATCCAGCAAAGTATTAATGCTTTTATGTATACTTTTCTTAAATCTATTGAGATAAAAAAAAGGAGGTAGGTTGCAAAAAAAACCTATTTAAACCCTGCTGCTGATTTGACTTTTCAACATTAGTAACATCGATAGTGATCGTCTGTAATGATATCTAAGTTGTTTGTCCTTGGAGAATTTTGTCCTGATGGCAGAGCTCTATTAAATCCGTGATTAAATTATTTTCTAAATACACTTGCCTTTTGTTGAAGACTGCATGCTTCCTATTTGACTTGTTTATGGGTGTCATTGTATGTGGGTTTGTAGCTGTGTCTCTGTCTCATTGACGAATACCTGTACATGTCCTTCATATTCATAAGATTATCTGGTTACATTACTATATATTTAATGGTTGTCCTATTACAAAGCACCAACATGCTCTTAAAGAATACATAGTTTCACTACAGTTACATGTATGTGTCCTTTTAACGTAAAGTAGAATGACATTTCATTGTTGTGATTGCTGTAGCAACAATATTACTACGGAGTAACCCGAGAGCAGAGTACTGGAAGTTTCTTACCACTTAAAATAATCGATCAATGTTGATTTTGCAATGCATCTGATATACTACTTATGACATAAATGTCATTAATCTCAAATGAAAATGCCAGAGATCTTACAACGTTGATTTTCCATATTATTTATAATTCCAAGGGAATATAAGGTCCACAAATATGATCGACTTCCCAACTAACCAAATATATTGTATATGATTTTTTGACATTTTATATCAAACTTCAAAGATGCTGGCACGAGAGCGCTTACAATTTCTATTTCCAAGCTATTTACCTTTTCAAGGGCATAACTCCCCATTTTTTAAATCATGTGTGAACGCTTACTATGTTGGACGGACGAACAGACGGGCACTGAGATATCAACATTTCCAAATCCCCCGACCATCTTCGCGGAGGGGAACATAAATTATTATGATTACCAAATATTCCCACGAAGGCTTTCATATTGCATAAATTAACTATGTTTTAACTATTTTGACAAATTTGACTTACTTTCTGTCGAGCTAGGTCTATTCAACTTTTCTCTTTCATTTGCAATTTTCTGTATAAAATAAATCAATCTTAAGGTAGACATATGATTATAGAAATAATTATTATTATTTTGAAGAAAAAAAATCAATTTAACACAATACAATTCATAACAGCGATTTCAAGTGCAATTAGGAAATAAGCTTGAAGGCCGTGCGGTGGACTGTAGTTGTTTGCACCCTTGTCCTTCCTTTGTATTTTTTTTTCATTGCTGTCTCACTGGCAATCACGCAATTTGCAGTGTTAAATAGTCACCAAGGAACGTTATTCATAAACAATTTCTCTATGGTGATTAGATGGCTTTTAGTGGTGTGTATGAACGAATTCAATTATAGCGTGATAATTTAACTGCAATGTAAAGAACTATACCCATTGTTCACCCGGGGATGGCTGTGGCTCGAAGTATCTCTAGTATAACTTATAAGTTGTAGTTAATAGACAAAGAGAGAGAAAACATCCATGTTAAAAACAGTGTAAAACACTTGTCGAAAAGACATCTCTTTCCTTGGTTCATATCAAAATCACTGATACTTGTTTACAATAGAAGAAAATTAAATCACAATATTTGTGAAACTAACTCTTTTGAATGTATAAATACATATTTTTTGTCTTCACTAAACTGTAGACATTTAATTATTTCATCATGACTGTGGCATTGAGATTCGTGATATTTAGCCTTTCACAATCCGCTCGTATTATCTCTTTCTTAGTTTTTTCTAGCTTTAGAAAAAAATATACCTTGCCTCTTTTTCCAATCTGATTTGTTTACTTCATTTAAATTATTTAACCTATAGAAACCCGAAAAGATTCTTTTTTTACAGACGGTGGTATTTTGAGCAATGTCATCTACAAACACTACCTTTCATTGTATTTTGAATACATTCAAGCCTTTATTAAGCGTGTAAATTGTTTCAAAAAGAGAGGCAGCATTCAAGCTAATAGAATGATGTCATTTTGTAATTAAATTTAACATGCAAAAGTCAAGTTGATAAAACATTTTTTATATGAAATAAAGAATAACACTAGTTGATGAACTGTGAAACATTTAATAATCTTTTGAGAAATAAATATGCATTGCATAATTTAACATTAAAGACTCGATCTTTATCGATGAGCCAATAAAGTCAACAAATGCTTAAAAAAACAATGATATGTACTGGATATGACGCATTAAAAAAAAATCAATGTAAATTTAAATTCAAATTATAATTTGTTCATCTCCTGCAGAGCATTCTGTGGTTAATAAACAGAATATTATAATGAACCCAATCATTATAATCTCTGTCAAAATAAAGTTAGGAACTACTGAATAGCAATGAACATGTAACAGTAAAGATTGGAGTTCAGTAGGATCCAGAATCCTCCTAGTACAAACCGGATATCCAATATCTACTAGTAGAAATCAGAATTCTTATTTATACTCATTAAAATCCAGTCCAAATCAAAATTTTGATATCTACTCATAGAAATTGGTATATCCAGATTTGTATTAGAATTCTGTATTGTAATAAATTTTGAGAAGGATCTAGGATGTTACTGAAAACAATAGTCAGTATGATTCTGGATTGTACTAGATTTTTAGAAGGATCTAGGATGTTACTTAACACTATAGTCAGTATGATTCTAGATTGTACTTGATTTATTTTTTATTCTTCAAACTTTTTATTGATAAATAGAAAAACAATATAAATGATAATACAATGCCACTTTTTATAATACATTACAATGAATATCTGATAAACTACATAAACTTTAGTGAAATTCTTTTGAAATGTTTTAGGAAACGACCTTTTCGAGGTTTTTTTGGTACATTGAGATGGTGTGTGTATGAGGGAGGGTTGATGAATGGAATATTCATTTTCACCTGTTGCTAGGTCAGCATTGAACCAAGGAGAGGATTGTACACTTGCACATTCTATATGTGCCTGTCCCAAGTCAAGACCCTGTAATTCAGTGGTTGTCATTGGTTGATCATATTTGTTTTTCGTAAGTTGTTTTGTACATCGTTTGAATTTTTTTCAGAGACAAGTGCTATATATATTAAAGTATATAGGTAATTTTGTTTCAGAAACAAGTGCCTGTGAATTCAAAGTATATATTTATAAAAAGTCGTGATGTCGTGACATATCCAACATTTGAGTAAACCAAGTTTTTTTTTTATTAAGGGCCAAACAGCTAAAATAATTAAGCATCTATTATAATTCTGCAAGTTTGTACGATTGTCACATATTTTCACTTTTTTCTTATTCTCCCGCTAATGGTGCAGGAACTACTAACCTCTCCGGATAACCTGAGTTCAGCCTGATTTTGTTGGTGAGATTAGTGTTGCTCGATCTTTAGTTTTCTGGGTAGTATTTTGTTGACTGTTGATTGTGTTGTTTTTTTTCTTTTCGTCTTTTAACGTTGGGCTTGGTGTTTTCATATTGGCTGTGGCTTGCTGCCCCCCCCCCCCCCCAACAAAAAACATTTCTGGTATGAATTGGCCAGTTTTACTTTGCCTGAATCACTCCTCAGCTGATAATTCAGACCATTCGACATTCAAACCATAGTTCATAGTTTTAAATAGCGCATGCGAGTAAACATTGAATTATAACATTTTATGTCCAAATTATACAGTATCGTTATTGATAGTAGCCCGTCATCAATTCATGAGTTGATTTTCACGTCTGTGACAACAAACAAGATCACCTGAACAATCCTAAAATTATTTATGGTCAAATCAAAACTGGTCCCCAATACAAAATGAATTCCTTCACTATCAGATAGATATATTGATTGACAGAACGGCACCATATTAGTATATTCCAAAAGAAAAATCAAATGTTTACTGCATGCCAAAAAACTTCATATATTAAGTTTCTGACAAGTAATAATACATGCAAAATAAGTACACAATATAAATGAAATTCACACACACAACCACACTAACCTAGTAAGTATTGAAAAGTCCCTTGTCCTCAGCTCTAATGATTATTTAATGTAGAACCCTAATCTATTTACTTGTGGTGGTATTTTTCTGATCCCAATTAAAAAAAAAACGCCTTTCATCATCTCATAGATTACAGTGTAGACATTTTCTCTGATATCGAGGAATATTTCAACATCCCAACCATATTTTTTTCCAAATTCCTCGTCCATTTTTTAAGAGGAGGGTAACTATGTGTTATTTTGTGTGTTTATTAATATTCAACTGTATGGAAGTCTTCACTCCTTGTTTTTTTGAGTCTATTAGTTATTTTCAGGTCGCGGCACAATAGTGCTCATTTCTCTGTCATTCAGTTCATATGAGTCTATTAGTTATTTTCAGGTCGCGGCACAATAGTGCTCATTTCTCTGTCATTCAGTTCATTTTTTCTGTTAAAATTTTTAAAAGAGGAAGAGGCGGAATGATTTCTGCTCGAATGAGAGTTATGGCTGTTGGTGATCGTGTTGTGACAGTGGTGATGGCAGGTGTACTGCATCAAAATGGGAGCATATCATGATATTTAAGGCGCGTAAAGCATAGCTCTACATATGAAATCGATATGCATGTTCTCAGTTGAATTTATACACTTCTCGAACTGTCAAATGTAGCATTAGTTGCTGGGTGGTGTTCATATTGATTCTGTATTTAGCCGTAAACTATCAATACTCGGTCAATATTTCAGGATGGACCTTCCTGTTATGTTGTGTTTTAACTTGTTAAGGATACGTAATATCAAATTACATTCCATTAGTAATATTATTTGTATATACTTCTAAAGTCACCCGTTATTTGAGGGCTATACCCTTGAATTTAATCCTTTGCCCGATTAAAATTCTTCTCATGTCACCCGCCATGTGATAAAAGACCTTTGGATTAAACAATATGAGATATCAGGCTCACTTTTCTGTACGAGCGCGGAAAATACATTGCAGACCTAATCAAATGGTGCTTTATCACTATCTGGTGATCTGTTGTTTTTCGACGACTTTAATCTATTGTACAACTTCTATGCGGTAAAATGTTTGAAGCGTATGGCTTATTACTTCGACCTTTTTTTTATAACTAATACGAACCCATGCTGGTTATCTTACCCTTTTGGGCACTTATTAAGGGAATCCTCAATTATGCACAACGAAAGAAATATGTGAGAGTCATACTACTATATTCTTATTTGATTTTTGTATCTATTAAAAATAAAGTACAGCTACAATATATTCATCCTTCTTCTAAAAGTGTGGATGAGGACTTTAAGCTTCCCCCATCCTAATATTTCATAAACTATTTTCAAATGAGAATATTATGATTCTAATTTTGTAGTAATATATCATAGACATTTTGGTAATTATCCCTCTTCCCACTTTTCATGTCCGCTGCTGCGTATTATGCAGACTGTATTATTCGGATATTTTCTTTAGTCATCTGTTTCTTCGTTATCTGGATATTTATTCATGTTAACCAAATCTAAGTTTATTTCTTTATAGTAATACTTCAAAGGACTCTCTCATTGTTCAATACTTTCTTCTCATTTATTTACATTACAAACTATTCTTGTATGTATTTTAGACTATTCACCATGACATGCATACAATAAATGTACAAATAATACCGTCATATTTTAAATAAAGATGAATTCCCTTTCTTAAGATACAAAGATACGTTTGGTTATATACTACGCATTAAAATTCAATTTCATTCAAAGGTTCATTTAAACCAACAAAAGGCTCCAAAAAGGGGCTCAAACAAGGTTGTTTTAAGGATGTGTTGTTTTATTATTATTGTTGTTATTGTTATCATGTTATAAAAAAAATTGTCCATTTCCGTATCCATATATTATTTCTTATGTTTTAATATAAGTAATAATCTACCTCTAAATTGTTCTCTAAACTCACCAATAAAGGCATTATGTACACTACTGTGGCATACAGCTTCACTCTTAGTTAACAGACAATAAAGTTCTGCTAAACAATAAAAGATTTTATTTTAATACAAAGATAGTGGTATTGCCTTTAGGTGTAAACGGTATACTTTGTTCAATTGTAGTTTTCTAA